TTATTTGATAATTACTGCATCAACCGGCCCCTAGTTTATACTTTGGAGGTTCGTACAGTATATCTATCAAGTATCTTTGGTTCAGAACATGATAGGCCTATATGAAAATCCCACCGTTCGATTCAATGAAGAAATATCTCCTAATTTCTATCGATAGTTTTAGTAAAATGTCAACATCATTGCGATTTATGGCCTTTGAAAGTCAAGCGATATCGTATATTATCAAATTAATACGCATGTAATTGTCTGAACGAAAATATAGACCAGCCCATACCTTTCGCCGAACATAACTTCGGCCCCTTCGGACGTATCTTCTTTGTTAAATATTCTTGTTCGAATCTGTATCAAAAACACTATTTAGAGTGTTATTTTTCAGCTTGTATCTTTTAATTTGCTTCTTTTATTATGTTATTCCATTTCTGGTCTGACTTGACGTGAACTAATTTCAAAACGCAGAGTTTCAAAACGTGAAAACATTTGGTTAATGTGTTTGTGATGTTACTCTGAGTGCATATCCACACCAGGCGAGCTTGAAAAATATGCCCGGCCACGGTGGGATTCGAACCTACGACCTTTGGAATACTAGCCCAATTCTCTTCCAACTGAGCTACGCGGTCAGGACCACGTAGCTCAGTTGGAAGAGCATTGGGCTAGTATTCCAAAGGTCGTAGGTTCGAATCCCACCGTGGCCGGGCATATTTTTCAAGCTCGCCCGGTGTGGATATGCACTCAGAGTAACATCACAAACATATTATTCACCTGAGTACACAACACCAGCACAGAAAAAAATTTGGTTAATGATTAACATTTAACCGAATTTAGCCGTTGATTGACAACTACATAAAAATACTAACCAATCCGTTTTTCCCGTTCACCAGCGGACGGGTAATTCAAAAACCCCTAGTTTTGCGGCAGACGGTATTTCCTTTGCCTCCCTAATTTTCGCTGCCTGTAGAAATACCGCCTGCCGCGCAGGCTAGGAGCTCCTGAGTTAAACGGTCTGTCGTTAAATCTCGTGGCGCAAGAGGTGCTATTTTTCAAAAGATGTCGCATTGCGACTACATGCAGGTTAAAAGGTGGTGAATTTTGGTTAAAACAGTAGCTTTTATCCGATTGCGTGCACCAAATTTGAGAAACGTAACTAAAAAATTGAGCACGCGCAGTGACAATTTTTCTGAAACAGGAATCTATCATATGATGTAACCTTAAGTGAAACACTTAAATTATTTCAAAAATGTGTTAGATTTAGATATTAAAGGTCTAAAATGGTGCGTGTCTACAAAGTGTTATTAAATGTTAAAATGTATTTATTTAGTTTGTGTCTATAATTTTAGTTATAGTTTATAATGTTCAGAATTTAATGTAGATTTATAGGGTAAATAAATAACTGAATTAAATTGTTGGGGAAGAAATTTCATAGCTCACGGAATTTGCCCAACACGTATAGTTAAACGAGGTCAAGTGACCCCCGTTTCATTTTCACTTTGAACGTTAATTTGTTACATGCAAATCAATTTGAGTAGCAAAGACTGTCAGTTGCTTCAAACCTCTGTTTTACATCTCTGTGTTTAATATACCTTTAATCAGCTTTATATATCAATCTCTAATCATGGCTTCACGACTATAAGACGATTGGCAATCAAGTAAGAAAACAGTCTTACAAAGAAACGCGTATATGTTTGATAACGAATTGATGAGCGATGTATCTTTCACTTGTGGGGAATCAAGTCGCATATTTCATGCACACAAATACGTGCTTGCCACGAGCAGTGCTGTATTCTTTGCCATGTTTTATGGAAGTTTAACTGAGAAAAAATTTCCCATTTGTATCCCAGACGCGGAAGAAGAAAGCTTCGAAGAGTTTCTGCGATTTCTGTACACTGACGCTTGTAAAATAACCGCCGAGAACGCGATAGGTGTTATGTATTTGGCTAAGAAGTATCTCGTTTCGTCTTTGGCGGAGAAGTGTTGCGAGATTCTAGAGGCAAGCATCAAGCCTGATAATGCCTTCGCGGTGTTGAAGCAAGCGGTGCAATTTGAGGAAAAAGAGTTAGAAGAAAAGTGCTGGAATATTGTTTCGGAGAAAACTCTGGAATGCATCAACTCGGAAGCGTTCTGTAGTATCGGATCATCTACGCTCAATGCTTTTTTAAAGAAACTGGAGACGTCCTCGATAACAGAAATGGAATTGTTCAAAGCAATATTGAAATGGACCGATAAGGAATCCGCAAGACAGGGTTTAAATATCGAACACGACAAAACGGCAAGAAGGCGCATCCTAGGAGATAGTGTTTATGAAATTCGTTTCCTTGCAATGTCTCAGGAAAACTTTCTAAAATATGTCTCCCCCAGTGGAATACTTACAGACACAGAAATTGTGTCCATATCTCAAAAGCTTTGCGGATTAGATGTGGTAGGCTTGAAATGGAAGGAACATAGAAATAAGCAACCATGTAGTATAGTCAGTTCCCGCCGTCTTCACCCTGCCAATATTAGCAGTTTAGTCAGTTTCAGCAGATTTTACCCTGGTAGTGTCAATTATATTAAGGGTGACGGCAGCGGCGGTTGGGGTTATACTGGTGGAGGTTCCGATGCTCTTACTCTGGTTGTCAATAAAGCTGTTCTCTTTCACGGTGTTCGCTTGTTTGGTTCCAATGGCGGCCGATACGAAGTCAAATTTACGATTAAGGGTAATAATGTAACAGAATCCTACACTTCAGAACAAGACAGTGACCACGTGCCGGGTTATGACGTCATGTTACCCAATCCAATCCGTCTACTGCCAAATGAAGAGATCACAATAATTGCGACAATAACAGGACCACGTTCTTACTACAGTGGCAGTGGAAAATCATCAGTGACAATCGATGACATTGTTCTAACGTTTAAAGACGCGCGTTCTGGGTTAAGTACCAATGGTACGGACATATCTCATGGTCAGTTCTACAAGATTTTTCTTTCTGAGCTTTAGTTTTGAGAATATTTTGTCACTTGATATAAATTAATTTAAATGCATGGCTAGTATTATATACTGTATGAATCATACAATATATAATACTATAGCCATTTATGATGCAATAATATTGAAATTTTTGGACATCTCGTTCGATAGAACTAATAGTATAGATGGCCTTTAATTTGGAGATGAAAGTTTTGAACGCAAATTTATATCCATTTTTGGACGTAACCAGCAATTGTTCCTGGTCAGGTCTAAACATGTCTATAAAAATTTGCGTTCGAAAATTCCATCTGCAAAAAAACCCATCTGCTGTATGAGATAATGCCTTTTATATTGATGACTATCATTTGTCATATTTATGTCAATAAAATAATTTTCTTCTTGGTATTAATATGAATACTGGGTTGTGCAAATCAGCCAATTCATAAAGGCGCCTATAGCAAGGCCTTTTTTAATATATAAGCTGAGGGGGCATTTGCCCCCCCCCCCAGGCCCCTTTGTGCCCCCCTACCCAGTAGCCAATATTCCCCCAGTCCCTTTTCATTAAAATATAAGCAAAACATTGGAAGAAAAATAGAATTTAGAGCCAATCGAGGTTTGATATTCTAGTAACTTAAAATTGCTTTGTGAACCTTATGCAATGTCTTTTATCTTCAAATAATTCAGTATCTTTTTAAACATGCTAAACATTGTGTTGCAAATACCTTTCATTTAAAAAACTGCCAGTGGGTAGCATATCCCAGACCCTATAGATTTGAGTTGTTGGAAGGCTAGGCTAAACAAGTTAGTGACCGATCGAGTTGTGGTATTTACATAATCATACCATGCAAGTACTTAAAAAATCCAGTCTATCTACAGTATAATACAACGCTGTATATCCAAAAATCTGTTTCAGAAAACGCACAAAATGCTCTCCTAGGGGTGAAAAAATACGAAAATTTTCTTGGGAGAAAATGGCCCCAGACCCCCTGCTACGGCATACGACTTTTTTTAACCAACAACCGTCTGTCATCTCGCCATACTCAGTGCAGTATGGTGCCTTTCTGTAGATTCCCCCCCCCCCCCCCCCCC